GTGTGTTATTGTGAGTGTCAGTATGTGTCAGAGTGTATATCTGTGTGGATAAGTGTGTGTGTGTGTTATTGTGAGTGTCGGTATGTGTGTGAGTGTATATCAGTGTGGATAAGTGTGTCTCATTGTGTAGATGTGTGTATCTGTGCCACACAGTGTGATTTTATCATGACTCAGTCTGCCAGTCTCTCCTCAGGATGAGTGAGGCGGATCGTCTGAGTCAGGCCTCCAGTGTGGCCACAGTGTCCTCTCTTCCTGCTGGGAGCAAGGTCTGTCCCTCTGCCTGTGTCTCTGTGTGTCTCTCTGTGTCTCTGTGTGTCAGAGACTCTGTGTGTCATTGTGTCTCTCTATCTCTCTGTGTGTCATTGTGTCTCTGTGTCAGTGTGTCTCTCTGTCTCTGTGTCTGTGTGTCTAGGTGTCTCTCTATCTCTCTGTGTGTCTCTCTGTCTCTGTCTCTGTGTGTCTCTTTGTCTCTGTCTCTGTGTTTCTAATCTCCCTCCTTTATCCTCAGGCTTCTGTCTCCAAAGTACACAGTTTTGGGAAGAGGGGCCTGTCAGTGAAGAGAGACCCCAACTGCCCCGTCATCATCAGGGGGTGGCTGTACAAACAGGTCAGTCAGGCTGGGCCGGTGTGCGTGTCTGTGTGTCTGTCTATTTCACCTGTCTGGCTGTATCTCTGTGTCCTCATGTTCCTGATCCCTGTCCATTGACCTCTGGATGTGTGAAACTGTCCTCTCTCGCCCTCTCACCCCCAGGACAGCTCAGGACTGAAGCTGTGGAAGAGAAGATGGTTTGTTCTGTCAGATTACTGTCTCTTTTACTACAGAGGTTAGTCTGCCATTTTACCACTGTATTTACCACTACAACTGATTTCTGTTTCTGTTTCAATTTCTCATTGTCAGGTGTATTTCTAGGATCTGTATTAATATCTTTGTGTGTCTATTAGGTGTGTCTCCAGGCTCTGTATTATATCTGTATTAAAATCTGTGTGTGTGAGGTGTGTCTCTAGGGTCTATATTAGGGTCTGTATTAATCTCTGTGTGTGAGGTGTGTCTCTAGGGTCTATATTAGGGTCTGTATTAATCTCTGTGTGTGAGGTGTGTCTCTAGGGTCTATATTATGGTCTGTATTAATCTGTGTGTGTGAGGTGTGTCTCTAGGGTC